TTTTTTTTTTTTCTTCTCCGAGGTGGGAAAGGTGATTCGTCTTTAGCTCGGAACCCGCCCACTGCTCGTGCCCCCGTCCATGAAGTTGTACGCCCCAACTACACCGTCCGGAGTGATGCGGTCGTCCAACGACCCGTCTGCCGTCATCGCCAGTACGGTCTTCTCGAACAAGCGATGGCGGTACCCAGGCCGAGCGTCCATGCGCGCGACCGCCCTTGCAACGAATCGCATGAAAAGGATTCGCCTTGCACCAGCTGAAAGCTTGTTGGCCTCCCACAAGCAAAGGTTTTCCTCGTGCCCAAGAAATTCATCCAGCTCGTTACCGACTTCGACTTTGAGGAGGCGTCCATAGCCGGCATCGACCTGTTGGAGTTCGTCGGTCAGCTTGGGGGGAAGTAGCCGCAGCAGCGTGTTGCACTCGCCGCGAAGGAATTTCTTGAACTCGTCCGTTGTCTGCGCGTGCAGGTTGTCCGCGAAAAGGATGGACTGCTCCTCTGGGACGACACCTTCCTCCCCCTTGATGCTGTTTAGGAAGCTGTTTTTTGCCCACGCCATGCACGTTGGGCCGTGCATCCACGCGTTCTCCTGGAAGAGCACGTCCACGCCGGGGTCATACGCCGCCTTGTCCACCCCCGAGACTTTGCCTTTGCCGCGGAAAATGAACGCGGTCCGCATCAACTTGTCGCCAGCTCCGATGTAATAACAGTTGACGGTGCACTGTCGCTTCTCAAGACCAGGGAACGGCTGCCCAATTTGCACTCGCAAAGCTCTCCCGTCTCGTCCCATGTCGAGTCGAGGCCGTTGACGAATGCGAACCCAACCTGGTCGACGTTGAAACGCGCATTCAGGCTGAAGCGCCCTTAGAGAGGAGATTCCACAGGAGGAACGATCGCAGCGCCGTTGTTCTCGGCGGCGCCCCCAGCAGCGGCCCGGCGAACGGGTGGTTCCTGCAGCAGCTGGCGCAGCCTCCTGTGGAAGCTCTTCATCTGCGGAAGACGGTCCTCCACCGACTTGTTCTTCATGTTTGTGCGCCTTCGTTTCGAGAGATGGTGGCGCTTCGCGAACTTCCTGCACCACCGGTCCGACGCTGAAAAGTTCTTTGCACGCGGGTCGTCCGGATACATTTCCACCACGAGCTTTCTCGCGTTGACTCGAATCGAGGCTGTCGACACTCTGAGCTTCCTCTTGCGCCGTTGCAGCAGCAGCGAGTGCAGCTTCTTCTCTGCGTCTCCGAACCACCTCCTCTCCCTGCCAGTCTTGAAAAGGTCTTTCTTCAAGTCATTGGCCGCGGCTGCGATCAGCTTCTCGGCGTCACCGTTCCACTTGCAGATGTTGGGTTGGGGAATGTCGGTCTTCCTTGCCAGGAACGGCTGGCACTACACGCCGTGAACATGCCAGATCTTTCGGCGTGATCGGTCTCCAGCTTTCGCAGCTCCGCGACCACCGCAGCCTTCTTCCTGTTGCTGTACTTCGTCCTCTTCTCAGCCCCCTCGTGTTTTCTTCCGCTTGGTACGGTCTTCGTCCGAAAAAAAGCCGTTATCTGGCAAGCCTGATGTACCATCGCCTTGGGTCCTTGGCTGCAGCTCAAACGAACAGCTCCCTCGCACGTGGTACATTTTCTGGCCCGCCGCAGTGGTGTGCCCGCCTCCCTCTGAGTGGTGAAAGACGACATTAAAACACCTGCCCGAATACCCGTGCCAAGGTGGAGTCGTCATGGTCCCACCCGTCGCGAGGGCACGCCTGAGACCTCGTCCAAGATGCCGAAGAGGAGCTGGGTGCACGGCACTACAGTGTAGCGATCGACCTCGTTCGGACGCAAAGGTCTTCGGGCAGTACAGGCACTTCAACTTGGGAGGAGGTGGCGCGATGGGATAGTGGACGCCGGTGACTTCCTCCACGATGCCATTGCGGGTACGCTTGATCTGCGAGAAAATAGCAGCAAAGCGAGGCCCGGGGTACGGGGGTTATAGAGTGCAGCAAGAAATGCTTGTCAACTGTCCCTCCAAGTAATTTACAACAGACATTTTCAACGGCAGCGGCACGTGATTGGCGCGCTTCGACAACAGCAGCAAGTGTCGCTGAAAAGAAAAGATGACAAAAAACACGAGAGCAAAACAACGGGCAGTGTCAGGGTTCAAAACCGCGCCCTCGAACTCGATGGTGAACCAAAAAAATCCCCCGCAAAACATTGCGTGTTTTGGTTTCTCTGCCGGCCAGATTGGCACACTTCGATACCAGCTGCAAGTGTTGCAGAAAAAAAGTTGACAAAAAGCACGAGAGAAAAAAGAAAAGGGCACTGCCAGGATTCGAAACAGCGTCCACAAACTCGATGGTGAACCAAAAGAATCCTCCGCAGATTATTTTCGGGCTTTATTTTCTCTGCCGGCGAACAACGCGGACGAAGGAGACGAAACAGGTGATGCACCGGACAAACACATGTCATTCACGAACATGGCCAAAGGATGCAAACGGAATCTCCGACCGACTCACCGGCTTGTTTGTTGGTGCGGCCCAGCTGTTGACGATGTTCCCGTGCATCGTGTTCGCCGCCGCCCTCGCTTCCTTGGCCGTGTCCTTGCCCTTTTTCTGTGCGGGCCTACACAGGTGGCCAGTGGGCACGGTTGTACGGGGGCGTAGTGTATCCTCCGGCCAACGGGGGGTTATTACATGGACGTGTGGCAGACTGGGGACGTACCACAGCAGTGGAAGGATGCCACCATCAAAGTGCTTTTCAAGAAGGGGGACACGATGGAGTGCGGCAACTACCGGGGCATCTCTCTCGTTGCACACGCCGGCAAGGTGCTGCTAAAGGTCGTCGCAACACGACTGAGCCACTTCTGCGAGCGAGAGGGCGTCCTCCCGGAGGAGCAGAGCGGTTTCCGCCCACACCGGTCGACGCTCGACATGCTGTTCGCCATTCAGCGGCTCCATGAGCTCGCGAGGAAGAAGAGTACTGCGGTGTTCGCGTGCTTCGTCGACCTCACCAAGGCATACGATTCGGTGGACCGAGACCTACTGTGGGACGTGCTCCGACGCTTCGGCGTGCCCCCGAAGATGCTGGCGGTCATTCGCCACTTCCACGAGGGCATGAGGGCGTGCGTCTGAAGGGGCGACGGGCAGTACTCGGAATGGTTCGACGTGGGCCAAGGCCTCCGACAGGGATGCAACCTGGCCCCGCTGCTGTTCAACTTGTTCTTTGCCGCG